CTCTGTGTTGGGCTCTCTGCTGACAGCTCAGAGCCTGGAGCCTGACTCCCATTCTCATTCTCTTTCTGCCCCTCCCCCGCTTGTGCTCTGTCTCTCAAAAATAAATAAATGTAAAAAAAAAAAATGTGACCATTGGTGTCTGGCTTCTTTCACTGAGTATCATGTTTTTGTTTTTGTTTTTTTCCAAGTTTATTTATTTATTTTGAGAGAGAGTGAGCAAGCAGGTGAAGTGCAGAGAGAGGGGCCAGGGGAGAGAATCCCAAGCAGGCTCTGAGCTGTCAGTGCAGAGCCCGATGTGGGGCTCTATCTCACGAACCGTGAGATCGTGACCTCAGCTGAAATCGAGAGTTGGATGTTCAACCTGCTGAGCCATGCAGGTGACCCGTTTCGAGACTTTTGAAAGAAAAAAGTTACTTTTAGAATAACCAACTTTGTTGGTCATTTAGTGCCTGAGTTGTTTTGTTTAATAACATTTTTATTGAGGTATCATTCACATGCCCTACAATTCAACTATTTAAAGTGTCCAATTCAGTGGCTTTTCATCTGTCCACAGAGCTGTGCAAACATCGCCACAGTCAGTTTTAGGACATTGTTATCACCCGCCATAAAAACCTCACACCTGTTAGTCATCCCTGTTATGTTTTAGGATCTGAAGTAGTCAGTCCATTGGACTGTCTGGCAGAGATTTAAGTGGCTCTGACTTTGTACTGCTTAATTTTCTCCACCTGTAATTATAGATGAACTTGGCCAATTAGGTAACAATACCTATCTTTAGGCACTTTATGGAAGTGTTTCATGTGCATTATCTCCCTTAAGGCTCAGATCAACCTGTGGGCAAGCTGCCATTTTTGTCCCCATGTTACAGATGGGGAAACTGATAGAGAAACTAAGAGGCCCAACGTCCAGCTGGTTTTTGATCCATGAAGTCTTTCCTTAATTTGTTGTGCTGATAGAGGCGACTGAGCTCCAGTCTTCAGTGCTGACTTGCATGAGCCTCTAGGTCTGTGATTGTTATCTACCTGCCCAGCAGTCCTTCCACAGCGGGCTTCGCAGAAATGACCTTGTGCAAAGTTCGGAAGGAGAGGCTGCGGGAGGTGGGAGGCTGGCCAGAGACGGGGGAGGATTTGGGTGCCTGTTTTTCTTTCAACTCCCCTGCTGTCATAGCAGCCTCTCTGCCAAGTGGGCTTCCCAGAAAAGCTGAGCAGAGCCTACCTGCTCCAGGAGCCCCGGGTAAGGTAGGAGCCAGCACTGTCCAGAGCAGGCCAGAATTTCCAGCAAAGTTCAGGGATGCCCCCTGGTGGATCTGCACTCCTGAAGCAAAGACAACACTGTTTTCCGAGTCTTCTCAGGATCTGTGGGGTCAGGAGCCAGTCCCTGAAGGCAGAGATCATTTTTCAACCATAGCATGTGATCTGGATTCAGTATTGCATAGGACAGGAACAGGAGTCGGGGGACAGGAGCCTGGGCACCGGATTAGATTGAATTGGCATCACATTGCAGTTCTGCTGCTTATTAACTGCTGCTCATTTTGGGTCTAGTTAGTTGTCTGAGCCTCGGTTTCTCATCTATCAAATGGGTATAAGTGAAGTTCTACCTCCCAGAACCATAATGAACTTAAGATAACCTGTGGAGAGAGTTTACCTGTGCTCAGTAAATATTGACTATTCTAATTGGTAGAGTATGTTCTGGACAACGAGCCGATCCCATCGTCTGTAGACATTAGCTTCCTCATTTATTTATTATTATTATTATTATTTTTTTAATTTATTAATGTTTATTTTTGAGAGAGAGACAGAGCGTAAGCAGGGGAGGGGCAGAGAGAGAGAGAGAGAGAGAGAGAGAGAGAGAGACAGAATTTAAAGCAGGTTCCAGGCTCTGAGCTGTGAGCACAGAGCCCAGTATGGGGCTCAAACTCACAGACCATGAGATCATGACCTGAGCCGAAGTCAGATGCTAAACCGACTGAGCCACCCAGGCACCCCTAGTTTCCTCATTTATAAGACAAGGACAGTCCTACCTAGCATCTGGGGTGGTTATGAAAAATAAGATATTGAACCCAAAAGATAGCAACACCCAAGTTCTCATATGTGCCTATGGGATTATTTTTATTATTCAGTTCCTATTATGTGAAATGCACTGTGTATTAATTCAGCAAATACTGAACTTGGGCCTCTTATAAGGCAGGCTCTGTGCACAGAGCTGGGTATATAGCACTGAACTAGATGGGAATAGTAGTCACATCAGCATGTAAGTTCCATGAGGGTTTTGTCTAGTTCAAGGGTTGGCAAGCTTTCTCTGTAAAGATCTAGAGCGTCAGTGTTTTGGGCTTTGCCGGCCATTTAGTCTGTGTCAGCTACTTAGCTTATCCCTTGCAGTATGGACACAGCCAGAGACATTGTGTGAACCAGAGTGTGGCTGTATGCTAATAAAACTTTATATATGGACCCAGAAATTTGAGTTTTGTAGTATTTTCATATCACAAAATATTCTTCCGGAGGGGCACCTGGGTGGCTCAGTTGGTTAAGTGACTTCAGCTCAGGTCATGAACTCCCGGTTCATGGGTTCGAGCCACTTGGGCTCTGTGCTGGCAGTGTGGAGCCTGCTTGGGGTTCTCTTTCTCTCTCTCCCTCCCAGATAAATAAATTTAAAAAATATTCTTTTGATTTTTCCCCCCTCCCTCATCACTTAAGAATGTAAAAACTGTTCATAGCCCGTGGGCCAGGTTTGCCCACGGGTTGTCATTTGCTGCTTTCTTTGCTCTTCTGTCTTGGAGTGGCTTTGAACAAGGTGATCTCCTGCTTCTTGTTCTTTTCTTTCTTTCTTAATTCCACTGGTTTATACATTTCTAAGTTCCCATGGACCATGTATTTGTCACTGAGCTAATGGGGAATTGAGGTCTTTCCTTAACAGATGGTGGGCTCCTCATTCCAGTCCTGATGCTTGTTTTGTGTCCTGACAGATAGGAGGGGCTAGCTTTCATCCTCAATCACCATGAATTTGGCAATCTGCTGTGTGTCTGTTTTCTCACTGCTCACAGCGCTTACTTTGGTTGTTCCTTCTATGTTGACTGAAGGTCTGGAGCCATTATTATTCCCATCTTACAGATGGGGAAGTAGAGTCCCCGGAAGGGTTGTGGTTTCCTTGAAGCTCTGTTCGTTGCTATTGGTCCCAGCGCTAGTGCTGACCGCTCCTGTCTCCCAGTCCTGAGCTTGTTCCTTTGTCTCTGGGAAGCAGTGGGAGGTGGCTCAGCTCACTCCTGAGATGAGAAGTGGGACTTTCCTGAGGAGGGGCGCCCCTCATTCCTTTCAGTTCAGTGGTGGTTCCTACGAGAAGTCGTACGTCACATGTTGCATGGGACAGCCAATATTCCTCACTTACTTGTTCCATAAATATGTACTGAGCTCCCGCCATGTGCCAGGCTCTGTTCTAGATACTTGGGGTAAAGTAGTGAGCAAGGCAGACAGGACTTCTCTCCTGGCAACGATTACAGAACAGTAGGGAAGAAAGACAACAAAGCCAACAAAACATATTTAGGAATTGTGATTAGTCCCAGGAATAAGGGGGAGACCCATGCATTTCAGTACCAGGTACTGTGCCTAGTAGTTCTGTGAGCATCATCTGATTTAATCCTCACAGTTAGCCTATGAAAAGAGATGGCAGGGCCACCCAAGTGGCTCAGTTGGTTACGCGTCTGACTTTGGCTCAGGTCATGAT